ATTGGTTTAAATTAACTTTAGTCTGTTATTGGTTTAGAAAGCCTATGCCGCCCTTTCGACCAGTCAGGTAAGAGCATTCACATATTTCCAACGCTTCAGGCTCTTTGCCAGTTTTTTTCTTTGAGTTATCTTTGGTTTTTTGCTAATTTCTTTTGTTAGAGCAGTTTCCAACTGAGTATCAAAAGTGATGCTGGATTGTTTTGGTTTTGATTTACTTCGTTGTGTGATTGGTCCTGAAAACGTATGTCACAATCTTAACCAATCAGATGTAAAACTAAAACTAAACACAATTTGGTCACCCGCGTTTTCCCGCGCTTCAAGGAGGTTGCCAGTTTCTACTCTGGGTTCTCATTGGCTAATGATGATGGTAACCTTTTGTTCTGATTGTCACTTTTGACCACTTTGGTTCAGGTTTTTCTATACTTAATTAAAAAGTGCTCGATGATCAGCAGTTGCCATCACTTTAGATTTGGTTTCAGGACACTTAGTTGAATTGTGCTCTTTGAGAATACAGTTTTTTATATCCGTGTGTACATACCATATAAAGTTACTACGGCAGCACAAGAACCGCAACTAGATGAATTAACTAATTTATTTACTATTTATACCGACATTTGCTGTATATTCAAACTTTCAAAACGCGCACAACGACAGCATCAAGGAGCAAAATTCCCTATTTTGTGCAAACACTGTCCGAACAGACTGGGTTCCGAAACGTCTAAATTCAGTTAAAAGTTCAAAACTTTGCATGCTGATCAACACAGTTCGCGTGTTTCCAGTCGAGGAGCGATGTAAGCGTGAGAATGGTCTGCAATAAAACAAAACATCACTTCCCTTTCATTCCTGATTTCCGTTTTCCTTTTCCTTATTCCTGATTTTGCCAACGAAAAGCTACACCCGAGCTTCTCCGATCTTGTGCGAAAGATTTCCGAATATCGTGTCGTACTGTTAAAATGGCCGCTTGGAGAGTACTTCAAGAACACTGGAAGAATCTTGAAGTGGTATAAGAGGCTTTTGCACACTGAAACAGAGGAGAAAAATGCTCTGTCTGCAGAGGGTCGAAGGGAATTGCTATGATCCATCTCTACAACCAGAAAAAATTTTGCTAAAACCGACTGTCACTCGTCGAGTAATCATTGATTAATGATGGTTAATTAACTAGTGATAGAGATATCGAATTTCCTTTATAATCTAGCGCGTGGCCTAGCGTCTCATCTTTTGTCAGATCCGGAGACGAGGCGTAATCTCTTATTCCTTCACGTTCTTTTCTCCAAACTCTTTCGTTCCTAATGGCACTCTCCGCAGGCGCACGTCAAAAACGCCGCTCCAAGAAGGTGTCTGATCCAGACTTCGTGTACGATTTTCCAACGGACTCGCTGTTTCATGACGCTCTCATTCTGGAGCAGAGCAATCCCGTTGACCCCGTTCTCTTCGAACAGTCTCCCAAGTCAAAACAGACCAGTTACAGTACCTGGAGCTTCTTCACCGCCATTCGTTCCTGACGCCGATACCAATCCTTCTCTTTCATTCGACCAGCAGCTTCAGTTGATCAAACTACAAAAGGACAAGTTGGAGCTGGAGGTGAAAGTACTTGCCATGAGCCGCCAGGAACGCTCTCTCGAAAATTCGTTCGCAGATCTCTCCACGCGAGACGCCAGAGATGCTATTGCGCCAGGACGCACCAAGCGCAACATCGACTGGCCACAGGATTTTGTTCCGTCCATTCAAGGTGAATATGATAAGTTAGAACTGCCTGAGTTTGTTTCGGGTTTCTTGATTATGATCAAAACCTATGATTCTTCGCTAAAGGATGCCATGTTAGCTCATCTCGAGTTACTACTCACTAAAGCAATTAGTTATTCGTGGATTAGCGTTCGTGGTTTTCATAAATTTATCGCCAAACAGGTCGAACAGCGTCGTTCGGAATGGCAGGATTTTAAGTCTATCCAAGATCAAGCCACAACCTTTTTTCGTCATTCAGATTTACGAAATACACGACAGCGAATTGACAACCCGCGTCAACCCTCTCACAACGCATCCTCGGGTGATCGTCAACAGGCGGTTCCACCCACAGTCAAAAAAGCTTGCAAAACCTGGAATTACACTGGCTCTTGCGATTGCGATCCGCAAGATGAAGTTAATTACAAAGAACATCACCGCTGTCGAGTGTGCAAGGCGGATCACCCGATGCTTCGTTGCTCAAAACGTCGCACACCAATCCCACCTCAATGACAACTAGGCCGAGTAATTCCAGACGAAATTTCCTCAGCGACCTCTTTGACCCGGAACGGAAACGGACATGAACAGTTTAAAAATTCAGCAGTTGTTCGACATTTAATTGCTTTGCAGCCAAATGCCTTCGGTGCCAAGGTTTTGGTTCCTACTTCGCTCTTGCTTTCGAACTGGAGAACACTGCTTTCCAATTATCATGATAACATTGTGATCGATTTTCTTTCGTACGGTTGGCCTGTTGATTATACAGCACACACTCCTCCTGTTTCATCATTGCATAATCATCCATCTGCTACGAACTTTGCTTCGCATGTGCAAACCTATCTTGACACTGAATTATCTTGGAATGCTATAGCCGGACCCTTCGATCATCCTCCATTTGCAGACGATTTCGTATCCTCGCCTCTTCAAACAGTGCCCAAACGTGGTACCTCGACGCGGCGCGTGGTTATGGACTTGAGTTTCCCTCACGGCTCCTCAGTCAACGATGGCATTTCTCAAGACACCTATCTGGGCGAGCATTTTAAGCTACGTTTGCCTGGCATTGATCGCCTCGTTGAATTCATTCTCGAGAAAGGTCGTAACTGTCTCATTTTCAAGAAGGACTTGCGTCGGGCTTATCGACAGTTTCCTGTAGACCCCAAGGACTATAATTTACTGGGCTTTTGTTATAAGGGTAAATTTTATTTTGACACTCGTTGCCCTTTCGGTTTGCGTTCGTCAGCTATGATTTGCCAACGCACGACAAAGGCGGTCGTCCATATCTTCACTGAACAGGGGTTTTTCGCAGACGTTTATCTTGACGATTTTTACGGCGCGGAATATCCATCTCTTGCAGCCCAGGCCTTTTCCTGTCTCGGTCAGCTATTCCAACATCTCGGCTTAGATTCTTCTCCTGCGCAGGACTCGCCTCCTTCAACGTCCATGATTTGTCTCGGTCTTCTTGTTGACACTGCAGCGTTCACCCTCGAGGTTCCTCCTTCACGTCTTGACGATTTACAGGCCGAACTCAAACTTTGGCAATCCTCTACCTGTTTTACTAAGAAACAACTTCAGTCCCTTTTAGGGAAGCTCTCTTTTGTTACCGCTTGCGTTCAGCCCGGTAGAATCTTCATGGCTCGACTCCTCAATAGTCTTCGCGAGTGCACGCAGCCAGCCCGTCACCGATACCCCATTTCTGCTTCTCTGCTCTCAGATATTCAGTGGTGGCTCGATTTTCTTCCCCGGTTTAATCGTGTATCGCTCATCAAGCCTTCCTCCTGGGACTTTGAGAGCCTTAACTTCTCGACTGACGCCTGCCTTTCTGGAGGCGGCGCTACTTGTCAAACGGAGTGCATTAGCTTTGTTTTTCCTGATTGTATTTCTCCTGCCAATCTTCATATCAACGCGCTGGAACTTTTCACGATCATTGTTTCACTCAAGCACTGGGCTCCTCAGTTACGCGGACGCAAATTCATCATTGCCTGTGATAACTCCGCTGCGGTGACAAAAGATGAGACGCTAAGCCACGCGCTAGATTATAAAGGAAATTCGATATCTCTATCACTAGTTAATTAACCATCATTAATCAATGATTACTCAATCACCCACGTTACCAAGACGACGCAACAGTTTGGGCAAAATGAGTTTATTGCACAGTGCGAGAACTGCCTGACAAAATACTGGACAATAAACAAGAACGCCAAAGTGCCCAAACTGGAGTGTAGAAAAAGGGAGAGTGAGGTGATTGAGGAGAATACGAAAAGGTTATAAATGAAAAAAGAAAAAATAATGGAAATCTATTAAGAAATCATTATTCTGGAAACATAGTCTGAAGCTTGTCCGCCATAGCTTGACCCGCGCGCTGTTTCTGCTGCTGAGATAATTCTAGATACACGAGATATGCGTCGCTTTGCCAATCGCCCTGCAATTTGATGATTTCCGAGGGAATATGACAGTCAAAGGCAAAAGTAGCCCCGCCCCGTCGAAAACTATGAGGAGAAAATTTAGAGGGATCTAAGTGGAGACTAGAAATAACCCGAGAAAGAAAGGCGCAAAATTGCTTGTAAGTAATTGGTTGTAGACCAGACCCCGATATAACTGAAAAAAGGGGAGCAGAAACTGGCCCGGGATTTAGGGATAAATGGCGACGAAGAGCGAAAATGGGGCAAAGACGAGACCCAGGGACCCTGGGGATGGGCAAATCTAGAGAACGTTGCTGACACTGAATGGTCTTGGTAGCGGAGACATGGATGTTAGCGCCCACAGGTGTAAAAGCCAAACTTGCCCTAGTGATGACCTTAGGAGAAATTCGCCGCGGGTTGTCTGGTACTAAATTGGATTTGCGTAAAAAAGTAAAAAATGCAACTAGAAACAAAGCCCACATAGCTGCGTGCAGCGGAAGTGAGAGATTGAAATGGTCAAATGCGGCGTGCAAAATAGAAGGGTAATAGCATATTTTCGACAATTTTCACAAAAACAAATGTTCAGATGAAAGTTCCAGCTAAATTGAAGATTATTTAGGATGAGGTCTTGTGAAATAATGGCTAATAATCAGATCAAGAAAGCAACTTCTATGGATAAGTTTTAGTACTGTGTATTCTAATATTTACCGGATAGCATATGGACATTATTAAGTTACAGACTTAATCACTTCTGAAAATCCAAGAGTTAAAAGAGATGAATTTTACATTTTATCAGGATTATCAATTTCTCAGGGTATCATTGAGTGAAGTACATTGTGTTCTGTGGCATGTATCAAAACCATGAATATTCTTTTCCAATCCCAGGTTTTTGAAGTTGATCAAAAAGCTGATCCACAGGAAGAAGTAAACATCACTGAAGGTACATTTAACTCCAAGAAGTGAATTAAACTGAACTTTATCTTATGTAATGTTACAAATGTAGGATGCAACTCTCCACTGAAGGCATCTGTCTATTGAAGGGATGTAAAGAAAAAAGCCCTTAATGCCACTTTCGGTAAAAAAGAGTAAATAAAGTCTGTTTGTAAGCAAAGTGACCCAACTAGTGGGAGATTATTCTGGCTTCCTTAGCATGAAGCAACTAGGAGTTTCACTACTCCCCCCCTACCGCAGATGGGATATCAGTCCATCACAAGGTTATCCCCCAGCATTTTATCAGGCTTCCCTGAAAATTACCCAGTACCCAGTTTTATTGTTTTTTTAGAGGGCACGGTAACGAATCTTGCAATCTGATTGGTTCTTTACCCGGTCAGTATTTTCCTATCTCTGCCCACGGGCCGCGGTAACGCTTTCGTGAGTCGCCGAGTACATCCCAACTTTCGTTGTCATTTTTCATAAATATACCTCGTTTTCCGGCTGGGCAGTATTTTTAAGCAAACACGTCGGTCACTACCTCAAGCCGATAAATAACTTATGAATCCTCTCTTTTCTCTCTCTCAAATCACTTTGGTTGACAGAAAAATATTGGTTTCAGAATGAATTTGTATAAACAATAGTGTCATTACGTTGGTTGACGAGCGGCCTAAAAACCGTCTGCAATTAATTTTAATCGTTCACAAAAAGTACCCAGAAAGTTGAAACGTGAGGTATTTGGTTACAGTTAAACTGAACGATGGAACTTTCATTCATTTAATATCTGAATTTTCTCGAGCAGTTTGTTCATAGTGAAAGAGCGAGCGAAGTTTTAATTTAAGTTCTACAACAAATATACGCTCCTGGTGAGTCTTTCCAATTCCGTTCAATTTGGACATTTGTACCTTAAATTGCACAACAGAAATTGAAGGAATTTTTTGAGAAAAGGCCGCATTACATTCCCTTGTGTCTCGTTGGAGTGTGCCGTTCGAATTTAGTTTTTGTGAAGGAAGATCAGAGTTAAACACGCCATTACAGCAAACAAACGAGCAAACTCTCACAACTTCAAAATAAAAAAATTGAATTTACTCACAATTACTTTCCTCGCCGTTTACTTAATGAACAGAGGTAAATCTTCGTACATGAATGAATGGTCGATGAGAGTGAATAATACTTTCTGTTAGATCATTAACTGATTTTGAAGAAAACATTGTTGTGACAGTCCTTGCCAAACTAGTTCTGTTGGTTTTCAAATGTTCCTACGCTTTTTTTTTCTTGCGCGCTCTCTAATTGACAGGTGTCAGATTGTGACAGATACTTGTAAAAATAATGTTTCAAAGTTTGTTTGGAAGCCTTTTAAATCACCTTTATCGTTACGGAAATGAAAATGTTTCGCTGAGGCATCTCTCTTAAATTTGCATCACCTCTATTTTAACTACATTTACCCACTCAAAAATTGTTCAGTTTATGGAAGATCTTGCCGTATTTACGTCCATAAATCATTCGGGTTCTTTCGGAAAGAATTTCGTCAAGTTTAAAAACAATAAATATGTTATTTACCGGCTAAGGGTCGGTCCGTATGGTGAAAAACTGTGACCTCGGTCTTGAAAATGCTGCCCTCGGCCTACGGCCTCGGGCAGTATTTTCAAGACCTCGGTCACAGTTTTTCACCATACGGACCTCCCAGCCGGCAAATAACATATATATACTCCTCTCACTACATGACTTTGTATATTCTCCATCAAAATTGCAAGTATTCTTCTAAAAAAAGTCTGGGAGAAAATTATTATCAATTACATTAAAGGTTAACATAGCCAGGGCTCATGTTTAATTTTTATTTCATATAGTAGATGACAGCAGATCAAAGAAGTGCCTAAAAGATTTAAATGAGGAGCTGCTTTGCTGTATCTGTTGTGAACTGATGGTATTGGCACACACTTTGCCTTGCTCAGTACACACTTTCTGTTTTGGTTGTATCAGGGACTGGCTTTGGTAAGCCATATCACAGAGCATTTTTTCAGTTCTAAAGTCATCTTAACCTGTAACCTTTTAACCCCTAAGGGTGATTAGCATCTAATTTCTCCTTACAATGTCACCCTTAAATTACGCATTAAAGTTGTGACAATAAAGGAAACAATCAGCAACTTAAGAAGTCCTTGATTGTGAAACAAATTCTCCTTGTCAGCACCTTTGGGAATGTATAGAGAACAGTATGGAGAATATACACTGTGATGTTAGAGTGTAAAGGTTTAAGGTAAATCTGTTGGGTCATTTGAAATTATTTAACAGCACATTATTTAATTCAGAAACAACAAATTAGTCATAGGTCAAACAGAGTCATTATTTTATAAAAACTTAATAGTTCACTTTTTTTTTGCAAAGAAAAGAACTTTCATACAATTGATGTGTAATCTTCAACTGCAGAGGCATAATGTGTGGACTCTATCCTATTGGTTCTTAAATTGAGCTTCTAACCAATCACATTTGAGAATTTTGTTTCAGTTTAATTCACTAATGTGATTGTATTGATTGATATAATTGAAAGAGTGCTTAGAATAAAATGGAATGTTAATGAAGCAAAAAGTAAATAAGATATTTTTCTTGTTTTCTACTTAGTCATTCAAAAGACTGTCCAAACTGTAGAGCAAAGGCTCAACTCAAGTCTGCTGTACCAGTGAAGGTGAGTGAATCCTTTACACCCTAACACCCTAATGATTCAGGGGTGATATTGCAAGAAGAAATTAGATGCTTGTCACTCTTAGGGTTCAAAGGATTAACAGATGAAGGGGTGATTAGAAAAGAGCCTTAAGGTTATTTTTAGAGGAAAACCAACTTTTTCTCTCTCTTTTGTGAGGCAGTACCAGACAATTTGAAAGGAGAATCTTATAGTTCATCATAAGTCACTTCTGGCTTTTTCTCTCCACCTCTTCAATTTTGCTTGCGCAGTTAGTGAAAGTGAATTGTATCCTACAAGACACTCTCATGTTATTTAAGGGTGATGTTTTGACAAATTGTGACATCCCAAAATAGGGGTGGGTTTTAAACACTGTACTTGAGATGTATTTGTTTGTCTGTCAAGACCAGTCTGTGTCAGGTCTAGATGCATTCTATTCAAGTTTAACATGCATATTTTTGCACTCTTATCTGTGAACTACACTATAAACCTACTCAGTGACTCAATTCTTATTCACATGTAAACCATTTTGTTCTTCATTTTTGTGACATGTCCTGTATTTTGCGTATCAGAAACAATAATTTAATTGTAATGACAATGGGAAAGTGTTAAGCTTTTTTTTTGACCTTCCAGGTGCTAGACAATACAATAAACAAAGTAGCAGAAGAAGTTCTTTCTCTAGAGGAACTTGAAGAAAGGCAGCTAAAAATTTAGGTGAGCAGTGATTTGAAACAGAAACCTTCAATTTTGCTGTTGCAGTTAAGTTTTGTATTTGATCTTCATCAAATTCTGGTGAACCGAACAAATCTTTCTTATAACATTTTTCTTCTCTTTCTAACATAATTAAAACAAATAATTAACAATAATTATATTTCACCTCAGTGGAGGTGAACAATGGTGGATATATATTTACCTTGCCTCTTTGTGGCTCAGTTAATATCCACTAATATTCACCAACACTTTGGTGAAAAATTGGTTTGATATATACCATACAGAAACCAAAAATGGTTCATTTCTGTCAATACAACAAAAAAGTGGTTGGAAATTGATTTTGTCTCTTTGCCTGCTTGGCAGTGAATAGTACTTGCTGATCGCTTCTGAACAAATGAATCAGCATACATGAAATGCACTCTTCACCTGTGTGGTATTTTCTGACAAGTGATATTTGTGAATATAAGATTCTTTGTGAACTGCTGTGCACAAAAGATTAAAAAAGCAAAATCAAATTTACTAGTATTACTTTTTCATGTCATTGCACTTTTGTTTATCAGGGAAACTGCATTTAATATTTCTTATCAATTCTCTGAAACTTATCAGATATTTTTGTCTTCAAGATTGTTCTTGTTTGTTTGTTTTTAATTTTTAGCTGCTTTAGCCTTCTACATGTGACTGGTGGTGTATTAAGTAGCTTTTTGTGATGCTTTCAGTGTTACTGACTCCCACAGAAAAAGAGCAGCACCCCCATCTGTACCCACACCCCATACTCATGACCCCCTCCAAGGACTGCACCCAAAGAGTCTGCTCCCAAGGTAAGTCTGGACAAGCTGTGAATTCATCAAATAGGAAATTTTAAGAACAAATAAGAAGATTAAATATGAGATGGCAGCTTAACCTGTTCTCTTAAGAGTGACTAGCATCTAATTTCTCCTTTCAATATCACTCCTGAATCAAACATTAAGGTCATGAGAAAATAGGAAATGATCACAAACTAAAAAACCCTCTTGATTGTTAATCAAATTCTCCTTGTCAGCACCTAAGGAAATATTTAGAGAACAGTAGGGAGAATATGTATGATAATGTTAGGGAGTGAGGGGTAAATGTCTAGAGCTCTGAGTTAAAGACTTGGACATGTTGCTGTGTTCTTGGGTGATACACTTTACTTTCACAGCACCCCTCTCCACTCAGGATTATAAATGGGTACTGCTGTCAAGGAAACCTGATGAAATGCGGGGGAGGGGGACTTCCAATGGACTGACATCCAATCTGGGGAGGGGGGGGTGTAAAACCAAAACCTAAAAATCTCCTAGACCAACTAGATGAAAAGAAAATAACATGAGCTAATGAGAACTAACAGTGAAAACAAACAAACTGGCTGAGGAGTGAGAAAACGTGAATGATCAGGCCACACCTGATTGGAGTTTTGAGTCTGATTGGTCCAGAAAGTGACGTAAATTATCTTGACCAATCACAGAGTGAAGTGAATAAAAACCAAAACAATCTTGGATCACCTTTGACATTCAATTCATAATTGCTTGAAAAAAAAGGTTCTTAATTAATTTGTTTGATTTTACAGGTCAGAGCTGCAGCAGAGCCCAGAAATCTTGCTATTAGTGACCCAGAAGTAGTGGAAGTTGGCCCTGCCATGTTTTCAATTCCTCAGGTACCCTTTTAACACTTTTTCCTCTGGGGCTGGTCATCATTTATTGTGGGGGGAGGGGTTGGGGTGAGGGCAAAGGGAGGGATGAAGGATTTTGGTTGTGTTACCTGATCTCTCCA